TTTCTTAATTAAAGTAAACTATTATAAGCTGTTATCATCAGTTCTAATAGTAATCACTGTTATGAAACTCTTAAAGTAGTAATATCAGTAATAGAAGAATTTCACTATTATAAGAAGCTTCTAATTATGAATATTATAATTGATCTTCACAGATTACATCTTTTATAAGAAAAAGATTACTGAAACTTAGTTCTTATTTAACTGTAGTTATAAGACTATTTCTGAAATTATAAAGAAGAAGATATCTGTCTTTAATCTAATTAAGAGTAAGAAATTAAAGTAGAACAGTATCACTGTGTCTATAAATATCTATTTCAATCTTGTAAAGACTCTGTGAGCTTCTGAGATAAGAAAGTTCTTACAGTTCTCTCTTTTTAATAATCTTTTCATTCTTTATTCATAGAATGATTTCTTCTTATTTTCACTCTTCAGTATATCTGTAAGAGTTAAGAAGATTCTTATAAATACAAAGATAAACTGTCTATAGAAATTCATAAAGCTCAGAAAAATCTGAATCTTATGAATACTAGTTAACTCTGATTATAATAGAATAGTCTCAATCTATGAAGATTTCATCTGAATATCATCTACAGTAATTATATATTCTAGAAAATTAATTTAACAGATACTGAAGTTGCACTTTATAAGCTTAATATATAGTTTTATCTTATCTAAGATCTTCAACACACTTCACACATGCTCAGTGTATTCTTTCTTCTTTATAGAGTACATCATCACATTATTCAGATATATTATTACAAAGATATTCAGATATATATAAAGTATTTTATTAATGAAAGACTGAAATACTGTGAGAGTATTAGTCAGATTAAAAGACATCACTAGATATTCAAATAATTTCAGTGCAGTTCTAAAGACAGTCTTTTATTCATTCTCAGACTGTATTCACAGCTGTGTATATACATTGATTATATTTAGTTATGTGAATATGACAGCTTTCATAAGATAGTTAATAACATTCTCAATCAAAGACAGAGAATAACAGCTCTTTATTATCTTGAAGTTCAGATCACAGTAGTCTATACACAATCTGAGATCTTTATTCTTCTTCTTCATGAATATTACAAAGGCTTCTGTGAAGATCTGTGAAGATCAGATAAAGTCATTTCTCAGATTCTTCTTTATATAGATCTGCAAGATCTCTGTCTCATAATAAAAGAGCTTATAGATTGATCTTCAGAAGAGTTTCTACTCTTCTATTAAATCTATTATCAGATTCTTCTCATAGTAAGAAGAAAGCTCAGCTGTCTTTACTGAGCTGAATATCTTTATAAGATCTTAGTATTTCTCTGATATCTGAAGCTTAGTTTTTATAACTGTAAGATTCTCAGATACTTACAAAGTTATTATATAGATGAGCTTATCTTCTCTAATTAACTCTACAGTATTAACTGATTCTATCTCTGTAAGTGAGTCTATTAACAATGATCAGAAGTATAAACCTGACTTACAGACAGTTATATATGAATTATATCTTTAAAGTGATATAAGTCTTAAGTACATATTATCTGTAATATCTGTAATAATCACAGTTTCTACAAATCTTCTTCAGATTTCAGAGAGATCTTGTAATTCAAAGATAACTCTTATAAGTCTCTCAGCTCTCAGATCTGAGTTCTCATACTCTGCTTATTATAAGAGTTAGACTGGCCGGCGGGACCATGAATTTCACATTTGGTCCCATTTGGTCTGGTCCCATACATTTCTTGGCGTGAGTCCCACCAGGACCAAGCCTCAAAAAAATCTGAAAATGAACCATTTCTGAGAGAAATGGCGTGAAAAATGACCAGATTTAATTCAAGAACAGTGAAATGGGAGTAATTTCTCAGGATAAACTATGAAAGATGATCATTCTTCCAAAATCAGAATGAGACTGGGACTGAAGATCAAAATCAGTCCCATTCAGTTCATTCAGTGATTGCTTATATAATCAGAATTTGGTAACAATTATTAGTAACGCTCATGAAACAACTAAATACATTCTTGTGCAAGTTTATTCTTCACTTTCTCATGAAAACTACACTTCTCTGATATACTGTGATCAGAGATATTAAACTGTCTGATAATTCCATGTTTTACAATCATGAGTTTCTTGATTGTTTCTCCTTGTAATTGTCCCCAGTGATAGTGATAAATATCTCAACTTGAGTTGAACTTTCACTCCATTCTCACCTCTGTCAATGGAATTGTCAGAATATCACACATCATCAGTGCAACAGTTGAATATGTACTCTCAACAATTTTTCATAACTCTAGAATTGATTTGGCGTGTAAATTTGTCAGATCATCTTGAAGATAACAGTCAAATTCAGTTTTACAAGCATGTAGTTTTGCCTGATTTTCAGTTGCAATCAATGTATGTAAGTCCTGTTTCAAAGTTAGTATTATAGTTCTATGAGATATGAAGTGTTACCAAAGATCATTACTTACTAGGGAATTGTATTCCACTGTCTCCATATCTCAAACATCTGCTCATTCAAATCTCTGATAGTTGACATTGTAGTAGTCTCAGGCTAATTTAACATATGAGTCTTGTTCCTCCTCTGTCCAATCTTGAGAAGTGTAGATGTTAACTCAACAGAAGGAATCTAGTAGAGCTGCTACAGCATAGTACTCTGCAAAAGATTGTTCAGTTTTGCTGTAGTAATATGCCAGTTTATCCCTTGCAGCAATAATAGCCTGCGCTATAGCATCATCCCAGACTGAATTTCTTTTTGAGTGATTCAACTGCTTCTCAAGATAAGTAAATAAACTGTTATACACTCACCAGACTGACTGCAGCATTGGTGTATGAGTGATTGAGACTGCCTTTATTGTCTTATAAAACTGAAACAGTAAACCAATCACATATTTCAACTGAGTTCACTTCATATCAGAAAGTTTCAATATCTGAATCTTTTCCTGATCAGAGTGTTGCACTCAATGATCAATCATCTGATGCAATTGAAGAGCCTGAACAGCCATCTCATATGTTGAACTCCATCATGTTCTAACATCCTGTATCATATTCAGTGGTGTGACTGATTTGTTTGTTTGTTGAATATCATGAAATTGTTGTTGTTGTTTAGAAGAGGTACAAATCACATTAGCAATGTTTTGAATCTATGATATTTAAATTATTAGCCAATCTATTCAAAATTAACAGTAGCATTACCAAAAAGTGTTATCAAAAAGCAATATTAAAAAGTGTTATCAAAAAACATTATCTTTTGCAAAGTGAATGCAAAAGTTACTTGAGTAATCACTTTCATCTCATTCTCATCCCAAGAACCAGCCATCTCATTATTCTTCACCTCAATGTTAAGATTCTTTACCAGTGTTTGCATCACAAGTTGAACCACATGAGCAATGCAGAGAATATGACCTTATTTATCATTCCAGAAATGCAAAGCCAATTTTTGCTCCAAGCTCTTCACCATAGTGTAGTTATTCACAGCATTGTCAGTTGTAATTGCAAGAAGACTGGGACTAATATCTCAATAGTCATTTTTAATCACAGTCATTAATACCTCTACCATATAATCCCCAGTATGACTACTGATCAATGATTCAAATCCAATTAATGCCTCTCAATAAGTCCAGTTCTCATCAATATAATAACATGTAACTCTCATAAATGCAAGATTGTTTGTACTAGTCCATGCATTCACAGTGAGAGACACTCTTCAATGATTCTTCAACTCTGATTCTAGATGTTGCATATTGACTTTGTAGTGTGTCTCAAGGTTGGACTGAAGACAGGATTGATGTGGAATATGAAGATTTGAATTAAGCATTTGAAGAAGTGTTCAGAATTCGGGGTTTTCAATTGATTGAAGAGAAAGATTCAGAGATATACACATGTGAAGTAATTATTCACAGAAGTTATCAGATGAGAGTTGTGAAATCAGAGTACTGATACATGATCATTTTTGCATGATTTCCTTCAAATTAGAAAGTTAGTGTTATCAAAAATCATTATCTGATAGAGCAACTTACCAGCCCAGTAGTAATTTTCTGATTATTTTCCTTTTATTGTCTGCATTCTGATGACTTCAGATGTCAGGAAATTCCTTCAGAGCCATGACCAGTCCATGATGAATGTTTCTGAATGAAGTTGCAGTGATTGCAGCAGAGAGATGACTCTCTGATAATCTGCAATACAACCTGTTGATAATTATTCCATAGTTCATCTTGATGTTTGTGTTGAGTTTTTCATAAATTTCATGACCTGGAATCAGATGTGAAGAATGAAGTGATCATTCATCATGATTGAAAGAGAGCATTCTGTGTTGAATTGTAAACAATATAGACTTTGTGATTCACAGTGATTTCTTAAAGAGTTTGTGAATCTTCAGTAGAAGTAAAAGAAGTGAAAGAAGTGAATTCAGAAGATATGATAATAATTTGAGAAAGATGATAATTTATTTTCAATAACTGATCACTGATGTGTGTAAGAAGAATTAATATAAGAGAAAATAATCTTGTTTCTTAGCTTAGTTATAATTTTAGTACTAACTCAGATTGAATATCATTGATGTATAAAAGTAAATAAACAATCTTGATTAATCTCTATCATATTTCTTGAAATATATTAATATTGTAAAAGAGAGTGTTATCAAATTACATTATCAGATAATATCATTAAAAATATATTAATATTATGAATATCAATGTTGAAAAAATGTTGATACTTATACATTATAGTGATTTGTGAATCATGATAGTTAAATATATATATATATATATATCATTCCTGACTTGATTACAACTTGTACAATAATTTTTGAAAACTCAAAATCAATTTTAATTATTAATAATTAAAAACTTAAACTTATAACTAACTAATATAAAAAGAAAAAAATCTACTCCTTCTCTTTCTCATTCTTCTTATCATTCTTCACAATTCACTTCTCATTCTTCTCCTCCTCCTTCTCCTCCTCATCTGAGGTGATAACCACCTCAAAATCTCTCTTCACTGCCTCCTCAGGGGAGGGTTCTCACTGCTCCCCCTCAGCCAGGTCAATCTGCACCTCAAAATCCTGCATTTCCTGGTCTGCTGCCTCAGGTTCCACCTCAGCAGCAAGCAGATTGACATGTTCAGAGAGCAGGGCTGCCTCCTCAATGTCCTGAATCATGGAGCACATTCGAGACCTGAACAAGGCCTTAATCCCCTTCTCCTCTGCCAGCTCCTGCTAATCAATTAGAGAACAGAAGTGTTATCAAAAATCATTATCTCTCAATAAGTAAAAAACTTACCAGTTTTGACTTCTTTATCTCTCACTTTAACACCTTCTCAATCTTCTTCTATCACTGCTTATTTACAGCAATACTCTTCTTCTCTCTCTCTCTCTTCATCTTAGACTCAAATCATTCTCAAGACTTCTTCTGGTCTCATCACTGCTGCATGAGACTCTTCACTGTCTTCTTCTTCAATCTCTCACAGGCGGCGCCATCCGCATTATTTCTATACTTAGTTCAGTCTAAATCTATCAGAAGTGTTACTTAAAATTGTTATTATTCTACTTTCTTATGAAGTCTCTTCAAGACATCATAACATGCCTTGCAATCTGTCTCCTCTCACTTGAACATCTTCTTCTTCTCTCCCTTCAATCTGTGACAGTGCTCACACGCCTTGATGGTCTGCAGAACTGCAGAATATTTGAAGAGGAATGACATGATTGATTTCAGTGAGTGTTGAAGAGGGGTGAAGGCAGAAGAGGCGGCCAGAAATGATATGATGATGATGATGATGATGATGATGATAATGATAGTGATGATAGTAATGATAGTGATGATAGTGATAATGTTGATAATGATGATAGTAATGATGATGATGATGATGAAAGGAGAAGTGCATTGAAATATATTACTGACTTATCAAATATAAAGAGACAAAGAAAATATTAACAGCTTTCAGAGATATATGAAAACAGCTACAGTGTTGCATAGCAACATCATCTTCATTCAATGCATGCAGTGTTGATATTCTTTGTATACAGTTATTATATAATCTATATCAGAAATACATGCAGAAAACAGATCTTTATTGCTAGGAAGAATAATTGCAGCAATTCTCTGTTTTCATATTATAAAGATAAGTTATTCTCATTTCTTTCTTCTCTCTTTTCTCTTCTTCTTCAACTCACCACTAAGTCTAAGCTGGTATGAAAACTATTAAAACACTCTTAGAAATCCTCAAATTGAAGAGTATAGACTAATCAAATTTTAAATGCAGAAGAACCAAATTACATTCAACATTACTAATTATTCATCCCCCCTCAATAAAACCACAGTCGCGTCTTCCCCTCCTCTCCCAAATGAAACATGGCCCGCGAAAAGCGAGTACCACGCCAGGCCATAATGACCAACACAGCCTCAGCACGCAGGGCTGTATACACACAGCGCATGCTGGACTGGGAGGCTGCATGGGTTGCAAACCAGCACCAGCATTCCAGGGAGAGCCGTGCAGTGTGGGAAAGCTGCAACCCTCAGCCACATGCACAGAGAGTGGATCATCGCAGTAAGTGCATGTGCATTGCATGAAAGTAACACTTTTTGGTAATACTCAGTCTCTGATATCATGAAAATAGAGTCTCTTCATGAGATTCATTTTTATCAGAAGTCAGGGGATCTTATATTTCTCAAGGCCACCTTCACCCGCCTTGTCCATGAAATTGATGAGAAGAATCATTGATTTCAGTGTTCTGCTCTTGATGTCATTCAAGTGGCAGCAGAGTCCACCCTGGTCACACTTTTTAAGTGTATATTTTCTAAATATTCACATTTATACAGATATATACTGATTATTTGTTAGATGATGTTAAGACAATGACTCATCACAGCTGTGTTACTCTCACTGTGAGGAATACACAGTTGATGATGAATATTACAAAGACTCTGAGAAGTGAGTATTTTGAGAATGCTGCAGCTCTGTGACCTTGATTTTTTTTTTTTTTTATTTTTTGTTTTTTTCTTTTCCTTTTCTTTTTTTTTTTTTTTCTTATTTTTGTTTTGTTTTTTGTTTTTTGTTTTTTTTTTGTATTTTATATTTTTTTTATAATTAAAATTATATGAATTATGATCTGTGTTCAGAAAAGTAATGATATTTGATAATACTCTCTATTGAATTTTCAACAAATGAGCACTATGTTATGATATTATGTAAGTGAGAAGTGATTTCATGGTTCTATTTGATGCCATTCTCAATAATGAGATCAGAATGAAAATGTGACTAAGAATTCAAACATATTCTTTATCTGGGACTAGATTTTTATTTGAAAAGTGAATCTGAGACCTTTAATATTTGAAATAACGTGATTTGAAATCAATGTGATAAACACAAACCATGACCAGGAGTAATGCTTTTAGGCAATGTGACAACTGTAAAGTTTGATCCTGGTCTCAGACACGGTCACACGGTCAGTCTAATAAGAGTAGATTCTCAGTTTTCATCTTTCAGTTCATTCACTCTGTAAGCTTTAGAAACATTACAGTGATCTGAGATTCTGAGTTCATTAATACTTCTCATACTTATAGAGTAATAGTATTATGATACAGTCTCTCTCTATAAGTAAGCATTTTCATCAGAGAAGTAACAGATTCAGATATCAGCTTTAAGACTCTTAAGAAGACTGTTACTGACTCTGTCTATAACTTCTCAAATTTCTATTTTAATTTATTCAGACAGTTTATATAAAGATATTCTGATTTAGAATAAATAAAGCAGAGTCTCTTTTTCTTAATCTTTCTATTATACACTCTGTTTACAGAAGCTTATAAAGCTCTCTCTCTCTACTCAGCAGTCAGATATGAATCTCTCTATATCTTGTTATTTTTTTCTGATAAATCTGTTCTCTGTTGTTCTGACTCTTGCAGAGTCAGTCAGTGATTCACTCTCTACAGATCTGTGACTCTCATAGTAATTTATAAGTAATGAATAAGAGTCATCAGTTTCTTCAAAGTTAAGAACTTAGAGTCTTACTCAATAAGCTTGTTTTACATATCTTTATTCAGTTTTTTTATAAATATCATTATTCAGATCTTATTTCAGAACTCTGTTTTCATAGATCTTAATTCACATCATAATTTTATAAAGCATTATAAGTAGTCTTCATCAGATTTCTTATCTTTTTTTCTAATATTAATAATCACAGCTCAGATATTCTCTGTTTAGCTTACAGAGTCTTTTAACTTATTTTCTAGATAGGTCTTGAGAACAGATCAGCAGAATCTCTTATAATCATTCTTTAGATAATTTAGTCAGTTCTTGACTTCAGTGTAATAGAGATCTGTTATTATATAAATAACAGCTTCTTCATCTTCTATATCACACAGTCAGACTTATGAGTCAATTTTAAATACAAACTTATAAAAGCTTTTATAGATTGTAATTTAATAAGTGATTTTAAGTAATCATGACTTAAGAAAGTTTCTTTTCAGTTTGTGAGTGTCTCTGAAGATTGTGTCTAGAGACTTGATTTAAGAGTGTTTACAGACAGTAAGCATTTCTTGTAGAAAAATAGCTTAATTTTATAAGAGATACTCAAGAATATTCTTCACTGAGATTGATTCATTTGTGAGTTCAGAGAGTTTCTCTGTCACAGATACAGAGAATGATATTCTATAAGTAATTGATATATTCTCTGAGACTTCTTTTATAAAGATTATTCATGATTCAGATGACTGTTTCTGAATGTCTGCAGTAGAGTTTGCAAAGATTGAAGTATATAAGTTTCTAGTTTATTCAGTTATAACAGACAGTTGCTGACTGACTGAGCTTGAAATGTAAGAATAAGTACTCACAGACAATTATTCAGATGTTTGCAGCTTGATGTGATATATACTGTTAACTACTAGAAGTATTCACAGTAGAAAGATAAAATGTAGAGATTAAATGTATAATAGCATTTAAGCTGAGTTATGAATAGTATTTGTGAACTCCAGTCTATATAGTTGTGTGTAGTCAAGAGCCGCTAGCCCTATTGATTACATGGGAGATAGGAATAGAGGTAAAGAATCCGCGAGAAGCGGGATTTCTTATAATTTCAGAAGTATATCAACTAAGCACTCTGAGATTTTCTTAATACATTTGCATCTGTATATCTAGATGACATTCTCATCTTCACTGACAGATTCAGAAAAGAATATTAAGAACATATGTAAAAGATATTACAATGATTACAAGAGATAGAACTATTAATAGATATTAACAAGTGTGATTTCAAAGTCAAGAGTATAAAATATCTAGACTTTATCATAGAAGCTGATAAGAAAATTCAAATGAATTCTGAGAGAGTTTCTACTATTCTTAAGTGAGAGGCTTCTTGTACTGTGAAAGATATATAAAGCTTTATTAAATTCACTAACTTCTATCAGTGATTTATACAAAACTTCTCAGATATTATAATATTACTCACAGAACTCACTAAGAAAGACTCAGTATTTCAATGATCAGTAGATACTGAAGCTGTATTTACATAGATATAGAAGATATTCATTAATACTTCTTCACTGATAACATTCAATTCTGATTATAAGACAGTTATTAAAGCTGATTTCTCTGACTATGTTATAGAAGAAGCTATATTGCAATATAATAATAAAGATGTCTTATAATTATACATCTTCATGTCTAAGAAACTAAGTTCTGCTGAATGCATCTATGAGATCTATGATAAGAAACTTCTCATAATTATACACTATCTAGAAGAATGAAACTCTGAACTCTGAAGCATCTCTGAATTTGAGATAATTACAGATTATAAGCATCTCAAGTACTTCACAACTACTTATAAACTCACTGAATGATAGATACAATGATCTGAGTTCTTAAGCTGCTTTTATTTTATAATACACTATCATTCTAATAGTCAGAACTTGATGACAGATGCTCTCTTATAATAAGAGTAAAATATATCATCTGATGTAACAGATACTCACTGAATGAACTGAGAGCATCAGCTCTTGAATCTGAAGATACTAGTTAATCAAGATGAAACAGCTCATGACACTATACATGCTTCTCTGCTTAGAACTGTCACTGATATCTTAACTTCTTCTCAATTTATATTAGTCGAACTATGACATATAGCAGCTCAAATCAATGAACTTCTTCAAACACTCACTGAAGCAGTATGATAAGAAGTACTCTAATTTCTCTCAGAACTATGTATAAGAACTGACATCTCAGAATATTCAATCAATGATAATAACACTTTATAATTCTGTGAATAATGCTGAGTCTCTCACTCTGAACTCTTACACACTCAGATAATACAAGAGATATATAACTCTTATATAATTGATTATTCAGGTTACAAACAACTGTATTAAATAATCTCTTAAGAGTTCTACTAGCTCAAGATATTAAACAGTATCAGATATTTCATCTGAAACCGTAACTGTTGTTTCTCTGTTATCTTATGAAAGAACTGTAGAAAAGACCTGCTGAAATCACTCAATATCTCTGATAGAATCTGATGAGATATGATAATTAACTTCACTGTTAATCTCTCTAAGAGTAAGAATTATAGAAACATTCTAATCATTGTGAACTGATTAAGTAAGAATATAATATTGAAACTCTGTAATAAGATAACTGAACAAGTTACTGAAGGTTTTCTAAGAAGCTTATTCTATCAGATATATGAATTGTCAAGATCTATAGTATTAAATCAGAGCTGTTAATTCATAAGCACTCTCTGAACAAGAATCTGTCAAGTTCTTAAGATTATATATTATTTATTAACTATCTATCACTCTGAGACTGATGATGTATCAGAACAGATAATTCAGACTGTAAAGAATTATCTTTATAAGTTCTGTAATTACTTATAAGATAATTGATATAATCTTCTTCTTCACACTGAAGTCACTATTAATAACTGAGATGTCATTTCAATAGATATAAGCCTGTTCTTTATTATTATTATTATTCTTCAATTATAGATGTATGCAGTCAGAGACTATAATATCTATCTGAGAATCTTTAATTCTCAGAGTTTTTTCTATATCTATAGAGTCAACTATTATACATTTATTAATTTCAGATATACAAAATTAGAAAATTTCAGCTCAGAATATAAAAACTGTTTATAAATTACAGTATTTCAACATCTTCTGATACTTTGAAATTATTTGAAAATATCATGACAAAGAAAAAGAGAACATAGTCTTAAAGCTATAGAACAAGATCTCTGCAGTTTACATCTTAAGCTATATACATATTTTAACACTCTATATAACCGATCACTGCCTCTGTTCTCTCAGGCCTGCTTCAGAGGTTATCATTCCCTCTAAAGAATCATCACTCAGCTAGCTTCTGTAACTAGCTTACTTATAAGTGAGATTCTCACTAAGAATAACATCAGAGCTACTTAATTCTAGTTAAGTCTCTAATCTTTCAGCTATCAATCTCAGCATTTCAGTCTATCAATTGACTGTCACAGTCTTGCTTGTACTAATCATCTATTAAGAGTGCCTAGGTCTTGTCTCATCTAGATTCTTACTAGGCTTAGAATGTTCTAATTGAATAGTTTTTAAATCTTGATTCTCTGAAAGTAAGTGTCTAGAGTGAGAGAAATGAGACCTGATCAGTTAAGCTTGATAATGATTCACTATTCTGCAGATACTCTAGATCTCAATTACTCTAGTACTGATCTAACTTGAAGCATCTGAGAAACTGTTAATTCTAAG